TTCTGCAGGGACTGGATTCAAATATCTAGACTTCTTGGGGGGAGATGAGGGCAGGAAGGGCTAGGAGCCCACGCACCAGAGGTTCCTGTCAGCCTAGGCTTGGGGGTGGGAAGCCTTGCCTGGGGGTTTCTGACCAGCCCCTCCTGTCTGCTTCCTGCCACAGCCCCAGGATGACTATTCGGTCCTGTTCGAAGACACTTCCTATGCAGATGGTTATTCCCCTCCCCTCAATGTGGCCCAGAGGTATGTGGTGGCTTGTAAGGAGCCCAAAAAGAAGTGAAACAGGCTGGCAGGCTCAGTCTCCTGCCACCCCCGCAAGGAGGAATGCAACAAAAGATTGTGATCAAATAAATATTCTTCCCCTCTACCTATGTCTCCTGAGTTTTACTTTTCCAGACTGTTCTTACCCTTCCCGACTTAGGGCAAGTTGGGGAACTGGAGGCTGCAGGGGCTTCATTTAGTTCAGGTTTGCTTGGCTTCCAACAGAGGCACTTCATGCAACACAAACTGTATTTTATTCTTGAGGCCATTGCCAGGCTGGTTTCACACCATTCACTGTGGAGTGGTTCCAATGAACACCACTCACTCCTCTGAGCGGAAGTTGAGGTTGCAGCCTGCCATCTTCTCAGCGTAGTCGACATCAAAGCGCTCATTCTGGGCCACAGTGAACATGGATTTCCAGTCCCCCATGATCCCTGGGGAGGTGGGGAGGGAAGGCGGGAGGCTCAAGGTCCTGGCTACAGGGGAAGGCCCCAAGGGGTTCAGGGCCAGCTGTGGCCGCTGTTCCCACCCTCCGCTCCCCAGACGGGGAGTGCCTGGCGGGCACTCACCTTTCCTCATGAAGGCGGAAATGTTGTGGTCCATTAAGTAAGTGGGTACGGTGCTGTAGTTAGCCATGGGGTTCTTCCTCATTTCCTTGAACGATGTGTGTTTCACAATGTGATCCACAGTCTCCTCTGACAGGGAGCGTCCCACAAACTCCAGAATCTTCTGAATCTCCCTCTTGGGGTTCTGGAGAAGCAGAGGGGGTCTTCAGTGGAGAGCTGGTGGTTCTTTGAACAAAAGAGACGCCCCTCTCTCACTTCCAACCCTGCTCCTTGACACTCTGGTACTCTGCCCCCGGGGCAGAGTTAACCGCCTTCTGTCCTATGATCTGTCAGTAAGCTGTGTCTGGTTCCTTGGGGAAGACAAGGACAGCCCTCTGTCATAGCCGTGGCCCCGAGAAGGAGCAGTAGCAGTAAGTGGGTGGTTGATGACTGCACGTGGCACTGACTCAGACGCTAGGAGTTAAGAGCTGTACAGAGTGCTACTGCCCAGGTGGCACAGAAGCTCTGGGCAGGGAAGGTGACTTGGAGGATCGAGTAGGACCAGTGTGGGGGCTGCCATAGGGGACGGGGGCTTAGATGACCTTGGCAGATTCCCATGAAGCTCCTCCCACCGCACGTGCAACATGGAGGGCAGTGGTAGCAGGTGCTCACCTCCAGCATGTCCTCATAGAATAGGTAGAGGACAGGGTGGGTGCGGCTCAGCTCCCACCACTCCTGCACGTGCTGGTACCAGGACCCATAGGACACTGGGGAAAAGAGCAGGACGGGGGGCACAGACAGAGGTTGGTATTAGTTTTAGCTGGCTGCCCCTCAGCTTTACCCCGCTCCTTCCTCCAGAGTCAGGCCCACCTTCCCCAGCCATGAACTTCTCCAGGAAGCTGTCCCAGGTGCCAGGGTCAGGGTGCACCTTGGCCATGCGGTAGAAGTGGTAATAGGAGACGACCACGTCCTTTGCGTTTCGGGCAACATAGATCACCTGGAGAAGCAGAAGACACACCCCCACATCACATAATCACACAGCGCACCACAGGCACTAGACATGTTTTTAAGTATAGCATTCCACCCTTCACAGCATCCCTGAAGGGAGGTTCTCTTGGTTTGGCCAGGAAGAAAACAGTTTTGGGGGCTGACTTGCTTGAGTTCCCATGGTATCAGTGTGACCGAGCTGGGGTGTGAACACTGGTCTGATGCCAAAGTCCTGGCTTTGGTCCCAGGAACTATTATATCAACCCAATCCCCTCAATGCTACTGTACCCAGATTTGGAACAAGGTGTGCCGAGTTCCTGCCAGCCCCCTTGTCCACAGGCCTGTGGGCACCCAGACCCTGCAAAGCATCTCACTTTCACTGGGCATCTGACCCCTCCAGAGTATGAGGTTCAGGACCTCTCCCCCTTTAAGACCATGCCAGGCTTGAGGAAGTAAGGAGACCTTATCAGAAGATAAGGCCAAAGCTGGGATGGTCCCAGCAAGCCTTTTTCTCTGGCTTCCTCTGCCACTTACCTTAACCTTCTGATCCAGCAGAGACTGGGGGATCAGAACCATGGGCAAGTGGGTCTTGAGGAGCCGTGGGTTTGGTGTATCTCTCAGAACCTCCATACCTAAGCCATGGGTAGGGAAAGGTCCAGCAAACTGGAGCCTGGGTCCTACCTCCCTCCACCTTACTTGCCTCCGGTACCCCACCACACACCTGTGGGTAACCCTGGAAAGTTGAACTCAAGGAAGGGCACCCGCATGAGGATGGGGGCCCTGCGACACTTCTCCAAGTCACCACCCTGGTATATCATGTCCAGGATCTCGCTCACCCAGGTGGTGCCTGGAGAGGAAAATGGGAGGTAAGCAGGGGCTGAGGGTGTGCCCCTGCTGGTCCAAAGGGGCCAGCAGAGGGGTGGATGGTCCTCCATCACTTACCAGATTTGGGGTAAGTGCTGATGAGCAGGTCATCAGGCCTGGCTCGGAAGCTCTGCAGTGGTCCCATTGCTTCTGCGAAGTACTTGATGAGAGGGACCCCCTTCACATACTCCAGAGGCCGGCGGGAGGTGTCCTGGACCAGCTCCATGCTGCCAAGTCAGGGGCCAGAGTGGGGCTCACCTCCCTTAACAACATCATAACAGTGCCATCTGTTGAACTGGGTGCTGGGGCTGGATTCCCAGCCAGATCTAACGCCGCAGACCACAACTCTAACTACACCTTGGATTTACCTGCAGAGCTTTTACAAATCCCACTGCCTGGGCTACACCCCAAACCCATTAAATTGCTTGGCGGTAGGGCTCAAATGCCTGTTTTTGGAAGCTCTCAAGGGGGTTCCAGTGTTCACTTGAGAAAATTCCCATTCTAGGGTCTGCCGAGTGTTCTTTCACCACTTCCTGCTGGGACTCTGGGCCTGATCCCCACGGGCTCTTCCCAGTCCTTCCCTCTTTGAGCTCTCTAGACCCCTCACATAGAAAAACCTCCCCAAAGCCAGCTGGGCCTGTGCCTCCACCTGCTCAGCCACATTCCACCTTGACTGAGAAATAAACAGGCAATTGAGCAACTGAGCTTGTGTGGGGGCCGGAGTCTAGCGTGTGAATGAACAAAACTGATGACTCAGCGGGAGAGGGTGTTGGAGGCCAAGCTAGAGCTGGTGGTAGACTGAGCTGAGATACTGGTGGGGCAAGGGTTGTGAGAGCCAGGAACAGAGAGACCAAACCACAGGAGCTCAGTGCTGGGTACGGGAGGACTGGCCCTCTCCACCCCCATCTTAGCACTTACCTGACCTCTCTATACCTTGGCCTTGTGACTGTCACCTGCTGTGGCTTAGCGTGAGTGCAAACTACTAAGTGCAGAACTGCTCAGAACTGAGTTTTATATCCAAAGTGGGAGGGATCTGGAGCCTCTCCCAGACTATCCTCCAAGAAGAAAAGGGTGGAGCTTGGGGTGAGAGGGCTCCTCTGCTGCCCTCCTTAGCACCCCAGCAGGAGCCAGTGCGAGACTGGCCTGAAAACCCAACATGTGGGATTAGTGTGTAGAAAATAAAAGACTGAATGTAGACAATAGAGCTTAATAGGTTTTGTTTTGTTGTGTTGTGGGGGGAGGGTGGCACAGAAGGGTGGGGTGGTGAGCTATAATCCTGGCTCCTGACCAGACAGCTGTCTTGTTTTTTATTTTGTCAGCTTTTTCTAATAAGCCTGGTCTAGAGGGGACAGAAGAGTGAGTGGAGGGGAAAGGTGGCTACACACCAGTCTGAAGACACCAAATGTTCAGGTCCTGGGCAACCTACAGCCCCCAGGCTGCCCAGACATTCCATAGTGATGTGGGCAGGCACAGGGTTGGGGGCCGGGCATTGCTCAGCAGGCTCTTCTTGAGGCAACAAAAGACGGGGAAAGCCCAAGAATGCTGCAGTTTCCTAACCCTAACCTGGAAGTGAGCCCAGTTCCACAGTTCCTGTGTGGCCTCGCTCAGATGGTGGAAGAACAGCCCCCCAGAAAATGCTTTTCTTTCCCTGGATTTGAAGGAGCCATGACCTTTATCCTTATGTTTGGATTAAGATCCAAAGTCAAGCTGGGCACTGGAGGTGGGTTGGTTCTGAGTCAAGGCTGTGAGTGACCTAAGCCCTCAAGAACTGTAACCTCAGAAGAAGGCTGGGGAATGCTGAGTCAGAGAGGCCTCCAGCAGAGAAGAGGCTGTTCCATGCTGCGGGATGGCCCCTCCTCATCCTCTGTTCTCACAGGCCTCTGCCCACTAGCTCCACACACACATCTTGGCACACACCAGAAGGTACCCTTAACTCAGATTTTGTTGTTTTTTAATTTTTTTTTAAAGATTTTATTCATTTACCTTTAAAGAGGGAAGGGAGGGAGAAAGAGAGAGAGAGAAACATCAATGTGCAGTTGCTGGGGGCCGTGGCCTGCAACCTAGGCATGTGCCCTGACTGGGAATCAAACCTGCGACACTTTGGTTCGCAGCCCGCGCTCAATCCACTGAGCTACGCCAGCCAGGGCTAAAATTTTTTTATAAAGATTTTTGTTTGTTTATTTTTAGAGAGAGGAGAAACAAAGGAGAGAGGAAGAGGAACATCAGTGTGTGGTTGCCTCTCACACGCCCCCTACTGGAGACACTGCCAGCAACCCAGGCATGTGCTCTGACCTGGAATCGAACTGGCCAGCACTCATCCCAGTCAGCCACACCAGCCAGGGCTTAACTCAGACTTTTTATTGTACTCAAGTAAAAACTGCCCAGACCAAAAGGAAGTGTTACAGAAAAGGAACAGACGGAGGGGCAGGGATGCTGATGATCAGATCTCCAGCATGTCTGTCCAGTGCTCCTGTGGAGACAAGAAGGGTGGTCAAAGGCAGCTTAGGGGATAGGGTGAGGTAGGGTCCCAAACCACCTCTTACCTCTTCTAATTCCAAGTCCTCCTCTTCCTCCTCGGTGCCCATCTGGCACAGCCAGACCAGGTCTCCCCACAGCAGTGAATTCTTACAGCTACCAAGGGGTACAGTTGGCAGGAGATATGGAGTCAGGGTCACAAGCCGCCTCCAGGCTAGGCCCTGGGTGCCAAGACGAGGACTCAGATTCCCTGGGCTTCGACTTGGACAACTGGGCACTGTCTTCCCAGAGGTACACCAGGCTGGGGTAGGGATGCTGGACTCACCCAGGGCACTGGCCCTCTAGGGGCAGAAGCTGCCCTGGCTCCTCTTGCAGGAACTCCTGTGCCAGGCAGATCATGTGGGCTCTTAGGGAACAGCCAGGGTGGGGGCAACACAGGGGGCCTTCTTCATCCTGTCAGAGGTGGCAGGCAGGTAAAGAAAATGGGGAGTAGTGGTGTAGCAATAACAAAGAATCTCCATGGACCACTTTTCCAAGGGCTTTGCATAAAACAACCCTGTGAGGCACACACTACTCCTATTTGTGTATGATAGGTGAGGAAACAGGCAAGGAGAGGTTAAATACCTATAGGGACTAAGCTGGCCATTTTTCCCTGAGTTTTGGCAATGATTCTAAAACAGCAGGGCCCCTGCAGCGAGACATAGATTAGAGTTCTTTACAGGCTAAGTGATAACAAGCAGGTCACTAAAGCTCTGAATGGTAAATACAGTCATGCACCGCATAACAACATTTCTATCAACAAGGAACCACATATATGACAGAGGTATGTCATAGAGCCTATGTGTAATAGACTGTACCATCCAGATATGCATAAGTGCACTCCATGATGTTCGAACCCAGAATTGCCCAAGGACACATTTCTCAGAATGTATTCCCCTAGTTAAGCAGCATGTGACTATACTCAGTTTACTTACATTTACTATGAGTGGAAGTCAGACCTACATCTCAGTTAACATACTAAATACTTATTTGCCACCTGCTCTGTACTAGACCGTGTTCTACAGTAGTGAATAAGAACTGTCCTTGTGGAGTTTAGTATGGGGGGGGGGAGAAACCCATAATAAAATAAATAAAATACAGTTGACTCTTGAAGAACACTGGTTTGAACTGCAGGGGTCCACTTACACACGACCTTTTTTCCAATAAATACACAGTGGACCCTCCATATCCCACTGGGGTTCTGCATCTGCAGATTCAACCCACCACAGATTAAAAATGGTATTTTTTATCCAGAGCTGGGAACCCACAAATGCAGAGGGCCAACTGTATGCACTGTTCTATACCATTTTATGTAAGGGATTAGAGAACCCGAGGGGGTGGAGGGGTACTGGACCAATCCTCTATGGATACCAAGGGAGGGCTGTTTGGGCGGAATAAAAAGTTACACGTGGCTTCTCAACTGCTCGTGGTCAGCGCCCCTAACCTCCATGTTGTTCGAGAGTAAACTGTACATGATACATGGGACAAGAAGTGGTAAGCCTTAAAAAAAAGAAAAAGGGAAAAAGGAATTGCATCTTCCTCTTGCTAAGAAATGCAATTTTAGATAGAGAACCAAGGAAGACCTCATGGAGAAGAGGTGGCATTTATCAAGACTGAAAGTCTACAGAAGAACATTCCAGTGAAAAGGAACGGGCAAAGGCCCCAAGTTGGAGGGTACTAATGTCGAGGAACGACCACAAGTAGTATCTTCCCCCTTTTTCAGATGGAGGCAGAGTTGCCAAAGGGTGTCAGTGGGCTGAGTGATCCCTCAATAAACAGTTTAATCTTAAATCGTCTAAGTGTAGACCTGCCCCAACCTGGAGACCAGGTGGGGCCTCTCACCTGGAGTGCACGCGCACAAAGGGTGCAGGGGGCCTCGGCGTCCTGGGCTGGCTGGGGCTCTGTGTCAGCAAAGAGATTGGTCCGGCGATTGGAGGCCAAAACTCGGGGTGACAGAGGCCCGAAGGCTAGTGGCACGTGTGGCGGCGGTGGTGGGCAGAGCTCCTGGCGGAAGTCAGCCCGCAGCCAGCGCAGGGTGAGCGGGAGGCGGGCCCAAGGCGGCACGCGGAGCATGTGGGCCAGCACGCGCAGGTGGAAAGCGAAGGCTCCCTCACTGCGCAGGCGTGGAGCCACGTGTGCCAGGCGGCGTGAGGCATGCGGGTGCTGCCAGGCCCACTCAAACTGTGGGCAGAAGCGAGGGCCTCAGGACCATCCAGGGAGGACCCAAAGCCCCAGCCCATCTTCCCGCCAGCCCTGTCTCCTGCCTTACCCGAAGGGCAGCCACAGAGGAAGGGAAGCCGTGCAGGATAAGCACCATCTCCCTAGGGAAGAGAATGATGGCAAGGCCTGTGAGCCCCCTGCCCCATGCTGGGTCCTACCTATTCCCCTCTTCACGGTTCTCTTGTCAGTCCTACTGATAGGGGGCTTAAGACTTGGAAAATTTTAGCTTAAGGTAAATAGCCATACATCTAGCAAGTAATGCATATGTTAAGCTTTTTGTTTCAGAAACTGCAGATAAGGCTCATCTGGCGCCTGAGAAAAAGCGGCTGACCTCCTGGGATGCTGGCTAGAGATTACCCCCTGGAAACATCCATGTAGGGAAGAAGCAGGCGACTACCCCTCCCACTTGGAGATAGCTAATTGCCCAGGATAGAAGTGCTGCAGCTGTGAACTTCAAGGACTCTCACTGACTCCTCTTTGTCTTCCCCAACCCCTTTATAAGGGATCTGGCCAGGAAAGAAAGGGGAAGATGGTTTGTTAGGGTATGAACCCGCCATCTTCTCAGATCACCTGCCATCTGAATAAAGTGCCTATAAAAGATTCAATCGCTGTCATTGCTTATTGGATTTGGTAGTGAGAGGCAGCCTGAACGCCTATATCTTTTCCAGTTACACTACCAGAGGGAGGAATCCTCACAAACCTCCTCGAACCTCGCCCATGAGACCCTGCCCTCTTCTTAGAGGTCGGACCCTCGCACCTGCCAACTTCAGGATCTGCCTCCAGTCACCAGGACTTAACTGTCCCTCCTCAGTTCTCTCCCTCCTAGGGTCTCTATCTTCCCTCCCAGCCAGTTCACCAACCCCCTATCGCGAAACCAAGCCTAAATCACTAGTCCCCTTCCTATGCAGCCCCGCCTGAGTCCCATAGCCTCGTCTCCCAGGGCTCCGCCTTTCACAGGCTCCTCCCCCGAGACAGGCCCATCTAAGTCTCTAGCCACCCCAGGCCCATCTCTCTGCCCCCGCCCACTGCCACTGGCCTCTACCCTGCGGGCCCCACCTCCTCCTTGACTCCCTCCTCCTAAGTGACCCGCCTCTTCTTACCAAGGCCCACGCCCGCTGGTCCGCCAAGCCCCGCCTTTTCTGCGGCCCCCGTTGTGCTGCTGGACCCGACGAGCAGGGTTGACAGTGAACCCCACGTAGACCCGGCCTCGGTGCCTAGGGTTCAGGCAATAGAGCAGGTAGACGCCGAAGAAGCGCCCGGGCCTCGTCGCGCCTCCCGCGGGGCCCATCAAGACTTGTGGGTTGATTGCTGTGGCTTGGGTTGCCACGGTCTCAATGTGTTTATCTAGGAAAAAGCGCTTGGGGGCGACTCCGAGGTATCCTAGAGGCTGCAGCAAGGTGGGTTCGTGCACCCTTTCCTGGCTGGAGTTAGGGTGTCCAAAACCGCCCACGGTACCCAGCCGTCAGTGTCGGCAGAGGATACCAATTAGCTTCGGCTGGGGAGGAGTCGGTCCGTGTGCCGACTCTGATTGGCTGACTAACAGTAGGCGCGGAAACGGAGGATGGTTGGAAAGCTGGGCCTGCGTGAAAGCGGAAGAGCTGAGTTTACGGACTCCTTAGTAAGGGCGGAAGTAGAGGCCTTAGCGGAAGTGACTCTAGTAAGGGTGGAAGTAGCGTGACCTGCGTCAGTGCTGGGGTTCCGCCCTCGCTGGGCCGCCGCCCCCTTTGGGCTGCCGCCCCCTTTGGGCTTCCACCATGGAACTCAGCGCCGAGTACCTCCGGGAGAAGCTCCAGCGGGACCTGGAGGCAGATCACGTGGTGAGTTGAGCGGCCTGGATTCACCCAGCGAGTGGAAAAGGGCTTCTAGGTGGGTGGTCTGTCACCATCCACACCATTCTGCCCCATAGGAAGTGGAGGACACGACTCCCAACCGTTGCGCGTCCAGCTTTCGAGTCCTGGTGGTGTCGGCCAAGTTCGAGGGGAAGCCGCTGCTTCAAAGACACCGGTGAGGCAGAGGGAAACGCCCCACTTAGCGCGGTCCCAGCTCGGGGAACAAAACCCGGGTCACTCCCCAATACCCAATTCCCTCACCCCAGCCAATGCGGCCCAGCACCGAGAACTTAGGACCCCAAGGATCCCGCCTTCTCATCCCCGAATCGAGTATTGAGACTTAGGTCCTCTACCTCTCTTGTTCCCAGGTCCTGAGGACTACAGCCTAGGGACACCTCCAGTCTCCCGGGTCAACTAGCTTCGGGGACTGTGACTTCAGGCGCCTGCCATTTCCTAACCCCATCTCTCCCCCAGGCTGGTGAACGCGTGCCTAGCAGAAGAGCTTCCGCATATCCATGCCTTTGAACAGAAAACCCTGACCCCAGAACAGTGGGCCCGTGAGCAGCAGAAATAAGGGACCAGGACCTGCACAGCCATTAAATTATGAATCAGGGCCAGTTTCTGTGTTGGTGTGTTGTGTGGGGGAGGGATGCTGAGACGGAGTGGGGCCTGGCTTCTCCCTGCCCTGCCGCTCTCCATTGTTTTCCCTTGGGCAAGTCCCTCTCCACACATAGGCCTATGTGTCCCCATTTATAAAGTGAAAGTTCAATTCTTAAAACCTCTTCTAGGGCAGGCCTCACAGGTCTTTTCTGTAATTCTTGGTAGACCCCTAGGTGTACCACCACTACCCAACAACCCCGCCCATTTATGGAGCATTGCTGGGTGTCACTGCTCTCTGCCAGCCTTCAGGGTGCGCAGATGGGAGAGTGCTTAGGGTTTCAGGGTGCTGGCCAATTTAACAGACCTGTCCCTCTCACCAACATCACCCCAATGTCAGAAGCATAAAAGAGGATTCTGCACTTCCCCTGCAGGTTCCCTCAGGGACATGGTACCCCAGCAGCAGCTCTCCGACAGCAGGAATGCTGATGTCTTGGGGCCCACTGGAGAAGGTCCAGTGACCTTTTCAGCCCTGGGCTTGACATGGCCACAGATGCCTGTGGGAAGACCATGAGGTTTTCAGCAATGGCGGTGTGGGCAGAAGATGGGAACAGGGGTAAAACAGGAAAATAAGGCCAACCTGCAGCTTAAACACAAGTACCAGGATTGGTAAGGCCTTGTGCAGATGAAATCCCTGCCACCCATTTTGGGCCAGGGCTCTTTGAGAGTACAAATTACCTGTTCCCCTGTGTTTTCAAGGCCAGTTTTTTGGCCCCTAAGTTATCTCCATCCCCACCTCCCTCTCTTGTTTCTGTCATAAGGAGAATGGGTTGGTAAAGCTGGAAGTCATGGTGATGACAGGTTAACCCTTCTGGGTTCCAGGGATCCTTCCCTGAACTTTTTTCCCACTGTCCTGGGCCAAGAGGAGAGCTAGCAACTGAGTCTACTCAGACAGCCTGTCCCCATTCTACAGGAGAGGTTCGGAGTGGAAACCTCACCTCTTTAGCAGGCCCAGGCTCCAGATTTTCTGATTCTCTCTTCACACCCCTGACTGGATCCACTCACTGTATTCTCAGAGTTGTGGTGGTCCTTTCCCCATTTTATAGATGGGCAACAGAAGCCTGGAAAGAAGTGACTTGCCCAGGGTAACGTGGCTTGCATAAAGGATGAGACCAAAATGAGCGGGCAGAGACCATCTTAGAGCTGCCTCAGCTCTCTACCCAGTGGTTTTCTCTGGCATGCTGAAGCGGGAGAAGGGGCCGGCAGACAGGGCATTAAGTCCTTGCTGTCCCTATGTGAACCAAACCCCGCTATGGCCAGGACATCCCGTCCTGATAGCCCTGTGTCCCAGCTCAGGCTCACCCACTAAGTTGGGTATCAGAAGCCCACTTCCAAATCCCCGCATGATAAGTCCTGGCAGGTCTATTCAGGTCCCTCTCTCACAGAGGCCAGGCTCAGGCAGAACCCACAGTGAGGGCTCAAGAGGCAGCAACACTGCCCAGGGAAGGCTCTGAACTAGAAGGGGATACTTAAGTCGTGACATGGGACCTGCCCTTCAGCGAGCCCCTCAACTATTCAATGCCTCAGTTTCCTAACCTGTAAACTAGGGATAGGCTGTTGCTTTCTTCTAAGCTTTCACCTTAAAAATGACCCCTGAGGCATACAGTTTGAAAGATGTCATGTAAGTGCTAGATTCTCATTTCCCCACAAGCAACGGTGTCAGTACAGCTGCATGTACCCTGATGTGGTTGGCTAGGAAAGGCAGATTTGGGGTAAACATGGGAGTTCCTCAGGCCCCACGCTAGGGCCTTAAAGAGTCAGACCTGCCCACTGGAAAACAGCAGGCCCCCAAACCACACCAGAAAGGGGTGGCTGCCAGCCACCAACACCGGTCCCTGTAGGCAGGGTATTCAGAGGCATCACTCAGTCCCTGCCATGGGTCGATTACATCGAGGCTACTGAGGGGGAAACTCAAGGGCATGTCAGTTCAGCAGACTCAGCATTCATGTGGCCAGTCATCAGAGTCTGAGAGGTACCAGAAAATAAAGCCATTTTATTATTGTATCTGCCATTGTGGCCTGAGGAGCGGAAGTATGAATGGAAAGGGAGGCAGGTGATGCCACGGGCCTCAGCTGAAGGCCCAAGTCTTCTACTTGGCTTGGACTGTCTCCTCCAGCCTATCCAAGCGCTTCTGTAGCTCCTGCACGGTGGCCTGGAGCTTCTTCATCTCCTCCTCCAGCCGGGATATGACATCCTGGAGAACCCAGGGCTGCATTAGGACCAGCTCCATCCTGGGCTCCCCTTAACCCTGGAGTCCACTAAGTCTTCTCCCAAGAACCCTAGGGCCTGGGCCCCTCTGTCACTCAGCCAGCTGTAGCCCAAAGAGCTGCAGGCCTATAAGCCTGAAGCCTCAGGATTACCCACTCCCAGCTCCCTATAATCTTGGGCTGCCTCAAAGGCCAGCTTCTCTCCACTGGGTCAATGACCACATCAATAGCAGCCCCTGTTCTACTCTGTCTTCCCACCCTAATTTCCAGCCTCCCATCCACCTCTCACCGAGCTAGGAGTGCCACTGGTCTCTGGTGCTGTCCTCCTACGCCCAGTGTCCAGGCCCCGATTGACCCTCAGCTCTCGGCTCTTTGGGGGCACGTAGCCATCCTTGAGGGAAATGAGGAGGGGCCCAGCATCCCGACCCCCCAGCCACTCCTCGGCCGTGAGGGCAGCGTCAGGCCCTGCGGTGGACGGGTACAGGTCCTCCTGGAACAGGTCCGACTGTGGGCAAGGCCAAGGCTGGTTAAGAGCATGCTTAGGCCACGCCACCACCCTGCAGCTCTGCAGGGTCAGTGCCCAGCCCACAGCCCAAGGAGGGACATGGAAGCATCACCTTTCTAGGCACTGTCATGGCAATGGGCTCACACCTCCGCTCGTGCAGCTTGTAGAATCTGTGGAAACAGAAAAGTGAGCAGTGTCCACAGCATAGTTGGGCTGGGACTGGAAGTCAGCATGAGGTCGGCACTGCCCTAAGAGCGTGCTCAGGTCGGGGATCAGTCACCTGGCGATCTCACACTTGTTCACCTCCAGGCCACGTTTGGGCATGTAGCCCATGCCACGCTGGGACTCCTTGGAACTGAACATGGAGAGATAGTGCAGGAACGGGGCCTCGGAAGTGATCTCAAAGTACCGGATGGAGCTGTCACCCTGTAGGCAGTGGGTGCAAGGGAAGATCAACACTGACAGATGCCTGCAGCTGTGGTCCTTTCCAAGCCCCTCTGCCCACCTTGCTTCCCTGACCCCCTTCCCAACTGGGCCACCTTGCCACAGAGGTAGACAATGTTGGTGTCAGGGTCAAAGAAGGGCAGCAGGACACCACTGCTTGTATCCAGCTCCTGCAGCGACAGTGGCTCCTCCAGGTGTTTCTGCAGAGACAGGTGGGAGGTAACAGTGAGCTGGGTGCATCAGGCCCCAGGGTGGTGCTCTTCGCTGGGCAGAGGGCAACCCCCTACACACTGACCAGTGGTCGGTAAATGGGCCCATGGGCATACAGCCATTCAGGTGTCAGGGCAGGGACTGAGCCTCCAGTCCTGATTCTCTGCACTCACCATGTCCCACAGTGCCACCTGACGCTCACTCATGCGGCTGAAGCCTGTGGTCAGGATCTTTCCATCAGACACAAACACAGCGCGCACAGGCCGGGTCCCCTCATGAGGACGGTCCTTCTCCTGGAAGGAAAGGAGGTGGTCAGTCAGGCACCCATACGCACGCCCCAAGGGCCAAACCCCCGTGAGGGGCAGGAGAGGGTAGCAACTAGGGGCATGGTTGGCAGTGGGTAGGAGGGATGAAGGTCTTTGGGTCAAGGGTTATGG